TTCAAAATTTATAAAGAACTTACACAACTGAGCACCACAAAACTAAACAATCCAATTAAAAATAGGCAAAGAACCTAATAGGCTCTTCTCCAAAGAGGACATACAGATGGCCAATAGACATATAGAAAAATGCTCAGCGTCACTAATCATCACAGAAATGTAAATTAAAACCACAATGAGATATCACCTCACACCTACCAGAATGGCTGTTATCGATATATCAACAAATAACAAGTGTTGGTGAGGATATGGAGAAAAAGGAACCCTACTACACTGTTGGTGGGAAGGCAAACTGGTGTATTCACAGTGGGAAACAGATGGAGGTTCCTCAAAAATTAAAAATGGAACTGCTTTATGACCCAGCAGCCCAACTTCTGGGAATACATCTGAAGAAACCTGAAACACTGAAACAACACATGCACCCCTATGTTCACTGCAGTTTATCTACAGCAGTCAAGCTATGGAAGCAGCCCAAATGCCCATCAGTAGATGAGTGGATAAAAAAATGCCATGGTGCACTTACACAATGGAATACTACTCAGCCATAAAAAGGAAGGAAATCTTACCTTTGCAACAGCATGGATGGAACCGGGGACTGTTGTGCTACGTGAAATAAGCCTGTCAGAGATGGGTACCACATGATTTCATTTATGCTTGGAATCTAATGAACAAAATAAACTAACAAACAAAATAAAAACAAAGTCATAGATACAGGGATCAGACTCACAACTGTCAGAGGGGAGGGAGGCTGGGGGCCTCGGTGAAAATGGTGAAGGAATTCAGCAAGAAAAAAAACCTCATAGACACAGACAATAGCACCATGATATCCAGAGGGAAAGGGGGAACGGAAAGGTAGAAGAGGGTAAAGCAGGGATGAATGGTGATAGAAGGACACTTGACTTTGAGGGGTGAACACACAATACACATATATATGATGTATTATAGAGTTGCATACCTGAAACCTATATAATTTTATTAACCAATGTCACCTCAATAATTTCAATAAAAAATGTAAAAAAGAGTAGACTTCTTATGTACCAGGCAGAAATAGAAAAATAACATCATTCCACTTGACCCTCAGAAATGCGAGTCCCTGACAGTTACACTCATTACCACACTACCCAGAGGTCTGGGGTCAGAGTGCAACAGATTCACTTGGTGGGTGGTAAGGACTGTGCTTTGCTGCAGGGATAGACCTGCCTTGAAGCAGCACAAGTGAGAGGCTGGTGTTGGCACCTAAATGCGGCACCTTAGAATTTCTGGACACCAGGCTCAGGCTGTGTCACAGCTGGCGGTGTTCACAGCCACTCTTCCAGGAGCTGTAAAGCATGGGGCAGGAATGGATGATTCTTATCCAGCTTCTGAGTCTTTTTTTCTAGTGATTTCACATACACGGAGACTGACTTCCGATATACACTTAATGGCATCAGCACATTGTGGGGAAAGTATAAAGCAGCAGCTAAATAGCTCAAGTACAAAAATTACTTCTATTCTTAAAGTACATCCAGGCCAAAACCTTTACATACATACAGAATGAAATCAGAGTGGTTTGTACTGTTTTAACTTTATGTATTATATCTCATTTATGTCTTATTCATCCTGCTTGAGAGTAAAATATTTGAAGGTAGGGCTTTGTCAGATTTCCTTGTACTCAAAAAGAATGTTTTATTAAATATTTGTTCAGGGTTCCTTTACCCATTAATTCACAACATTATCACACTCGCCTTGTGAAAAGTTATTAGTCCTATTTGAAACTGAGGAGACTGAGACTCACACAGAGGTGACTGAGTTAGCAAGGACCCAAACAAAGGCAAGGATATTATCCCTTTTGGTGATGACGAGGCTTAAAGAGGTCCAGTAACTCATTGGAGATCTATAGCTAGAAGGAGGTGGAGGCAGGACTGACTCCTGGCTGGCACTGCACCCTCTCTCCACTGTGCCATGCTCTGCAGATGAATATGCTACAGTGCAGAAAAGACAGATGTGTTGAGTGCCAGCAGGGTCTTCTATCAGAAAATCAGAAGTGTAAAAAATAATGTTGTTGTCTTTTGAGGCTGGGTAGAAAGGCCATGCATTTCACAGAGGGCATTTGTGGCTATGACCATTTCTCATACATACTAATGCATTGGCTTCCCACAGAAGTGACGCTGATCATCTCAGGATCACTGGCCCTTGTCACAGATGCTCTGTCATTGGAGGCTTCCAGCTACCTTGGCCTCTGTTTCCCAGGTGCTTCACCCCTGCCCCCGTCTCATTTGGTGTTACTGGCAAATACTCAAATCAATCGTCCTACACCACATAGGATACATGACAGCCTTTGTGGAAGCCACTTATGTCCAATTACAAACTTTTTTTTTAACTTGTCCATATTTTCTTCTGGGATTTATCTGGAGAGAGTTCAAAAGAATACACCATGTGAGAGGTGAAACGTCATGGTCATTTGGGAGGCCTGTCTGGAATTGCTGTTTGTGATTTACTGAAGAGAAAATGAAACTCGTGTCTGCCATCTATCTTGCTGAAATGTCAGGCTGTGCACAGCTCTAGTAGTAGAAGGGCTGATGGAGATCCTTGCAAAGCACCTGCCAGTCCTTTTGGTCCCTGATTTAAAAGCCATGTGTATGCTGCACAGAAATAAAATTTGTGGTCCATGTGCCAATGAGGAATTTTCCTGGGATATAGAAACCCACAACTACAGGGAACTGACTCTTAATTTCAGCACAGAAACTCTCTTCTCTGCCATGATGCCATAAATGGTGTCCAAAAGTTCCCACTGGGAAACCCTGCTCATATTACCAATATGTTCTATCAGTGTCTGCCCACATGAAAACTCGATCGAGGATTTCCTGTGACTTTGTGAAAGATGCATGAAAGGAGTAACAATGGAAATGTTACTGCTGATCTTCAGTGAACCACTGTGTTTTCCTCTCTTCACTAAAGACTTAACAGTCAGTGGAAACACATCCAGCTGAAGAACAAAAAACATGCTGATCTTTCTCTAATAAAAAAAATGTTCACTATTTACCATGGCAGAGCAGGCCTCTTTGACACCTCAAAAATGTATTTGTAATTTTGTTTGTTTATTTTGGCCTTTTCAGAATGTCTTTTTAAAAATTATTTTGTTGTCATTGAATTACAGTTGTCTGCATTTTCCTCCCACCACTCCCCCTCAACCCCAGCCAAACCCACCTCCCTCCCTTGCTTCCACCCCCTCTTGGTTTTGTCATTGTGTCCTTTATAGTGGTTCCTGAAAACCCTTCCACCTTCCCTCCATTATCCCCTCCCACCTCCCCTCTGGTTACTCTCAGATTGTTCTTAATTTCAATGTCTCTGGTTATATTTTGCTTGCTTTTTTCTTTTGTTGATTATGGTCCAGTTAAAGGTCAGATCATGTGGTATTTGTCCCTCACTGCCTGGCTTATTTCCCTTAGCATAATGCTCTCCAGTTCCATCCATGCTGTCACAAAGGGTAGGAGCTCCTTCTTTCTCTCTGCTGCATAGAATTCCATTGTGTAAATGTACCATAGTTTTTGATCCACTCATTTAGTGATGGGCACTGAAGTTGCTTCCAGCATTTTGCTGTTGTAAATTGTGCTGCTATGAACATTGGGGTGCATAGGTTCTTTTGTATTGGTGTTTCAGGGTTCTTAGAATATAATCCCAGCAGTGGAATTGCTGGGTCAAAAGGCAGTTCCATTTTTAGTTTTCTGAGGAAATTCCATACTGTTTTCCACAGTGGCTGCACTAGTCTGCATTCCCACCAACAGTGCACTAGGGTTCCCTTTTCATGGGAATACAGCCACTTCAGGTGTTCAAGGTTGACATCAATAGTACTAGGCCAGAAAGGAAGATAGGAAATTCAACTTGGTACATTACTGCTAGTGGTAACATTTTGTCTAAGGAGGAGGCTAGAATCGTTGGTAACCTGAAACCTGTTCATCTTGCCCTTCATTCCAACAAATTGGTAGTTGGCTCTTTCTGCTGAAAGCTTTAAGTGAAAAGAACATATCAGCAGCAGAGTTCAGCTTGGGCTTAATGCACTGGGGAAGGAGGAGGGCAGAGGGCATCACAAAAGGCCAGAGTCCTCCACACTTCAAACTTCAGATGATAAATAAAACCAGAGGACATGGTGCTATTTATCATTTCCGATTTTCCCCTTTAAATTAGCCAGGAATTTTGCTAGTCTACTTTCTTATTTGGAGAGCATTTATATTGCGTTTTACTTCCTCCCATTTATAGATACCAGAAAGTCCTATTGGCTTTTAATATGCTAACTCATAATATTTAAACCTACCAGGTAAATGTTCATTTTCTCCCCTGAACATGCCTTGGCTGCCTCATGGTGGATCACCAATATCCTCACTCAAGCCCCAGGCTTCCCCTAGCCTACATTCCTGGGGAGTGGGGGCAGGAAGCTTAACTGCACCATGGCTAATAACAGACTCTGCGTCTTCATGGCCCCAGAGCCTCTGGACACTTACTTGCTGAGAAGAAACCACCCCTGTCTGTATTTCCAGAAACAACCCAGGGAGCAAGTCCTCCCCAACTCCCATGAGGCCCTGGGAGGCGCTGAGGAGATGCTCTGAGTCTAGCCCCTCCCACCAGCAGCCAGTCCTGTCTCCCTCTGACCTGAAATGGGCAGAAATTTCAGAATCTGACCATCTCTTATCTTCAGTACAAACAAGCACATGCTCCATTTTCTCCAAAGATGTCACCTTCAAAACATTCATTTATGTCCTTTCCTTTCTTTATGATATAATTTTTCCTTTTGGAATCAGGTTAGTAAATCATTCTTTCCAAACTAATTTCTTTCACATGTAACTATAAACTTGTCTCCCAAACATGTGGCCGGATATTTTATAATCTCCTGAAAATCAAATCCCTAACCCAAATAACACACACGCACGCACCTGCACATACTTGCATACACACAAATAGCCATCACCATGGCTGCCCTTCACCCAAACAAAGAGCCCTTCAACATTCACAGAATACAGCCTCACCTTCCCAAAGAAGTGCTGAGTGGACACTGCAAGCGCCTGGAAGCCACGGACAGCCCGTCTCAGCTCCGCCTGCAGGAGGCCCAGCTGCCTGGCCTGCTGCTCACTCCTCTCCTTGAGCCGCTGAACCAGCTGCCGTTCTGCCTCACGGGCCTGCAGGTCCGGCTTGGGGGAAAACCCATTCCGGGGAGCTGTGCTCCTCTGCTTGGGGTGTCCTATTTAAAATAAAAACAGTCACTTGTGAAAAAACATTCAGCCCAAATGGGACAACAGCTCCTTATTACAGGATTTCATCAAGAGCAAGTGGCCAAAAAGGAATTGCCATTGTTTGTCATTGTAAGTATCAGAAAGAAAAAAGCAGCAGGGACTTAAAATACTTGCTCTGTTTATGTGGTTCTAAGTGCAAGGTTTCATGCTTGGAAAAAGAATAACAGGCCGAACTGCCAAATTCTTTCCAGCTTCCTCCATTTCTTCTAGGTCTGCTTCGAGAGATGGAGCAGATGTTTTATATTCACGGAATTACTCCTTGAAAATGTCTAATGGCAAATAAATCAATCAGTTCAGGTCAAAGCCCTAGTTGTAGCCTAGCAACCTTTTAATTGAGCATCAGGGAGTACTGCCCACGTGTCCTTCCCTCCCTTTCTGCCATCCTTCTAGTTACCCTTTCTTCAAAGTCAGGTTCAAGCCACACCTCTGATTACCTCTGCTCCAGGGTTTTCTGGCTTCAAATTTCTGCAGCATCAATGTCCTCCAAAACCTTTCCCCATGTGACCACTCACACCACCTCCACAACTCAAGGTCCAGTCCAAGCCACCGTGACCTCTCACTTTCTCATGGGAAATCCTGCTTCTTCTCATCTTTCATTGCACAGTGGCCTGAACTATCTTTATAAATATACAATAGCTCATAACCTGTGTGGACTGTCCCCATCTGGTTATGCTCCACTGCAGTGAGAAGAAAGGACTCATTCCTTCTCAGGGCCATGAAGTCTTTGAACTCTGGTTCCTGCCAGGCAAATGTTAGGTGTAAGTGTGTGTCATCAGGGTGGGGGGGCAATGTGGAAGGAATCAGAAACTCCTCCTGGGGTTGGAGACAGAGTGGGCGAGGCTTTAAGGAGAACTGAAGGTGTAAAGGCAAGGCCCCAGGAAAGGGGCCTTGGCACAGAGACAAGCACTGCGTCATGGTCCAAGGCCCAAGGGTATGCAAGGCTCTTCCTTGGGGCTGCTGTTCTCATGGGTGCTTGGGCAGACTTGACACCCAGAGAGTCTCTCTGGGGCACAAAGGACTTGTATTCCAGAAGCACGCTCTTTCCTTTGCCCAAGAAGACCCTGGAGAACATGACATAGACACTGACCACACAGTCATGAACAAACTTTAATATTTCAAACACTCTTGTCTTTTGGCTCGCCCACCTCCAAAATGCCAGGGAGTAACATATAAACAAATGAGAAAAGGTAGCCTCTTCAGTACCTGATACACAGATAGGGCGAAGCAATGGGCTTAGAACGCACAGTAGCCTCATCTTCTAAGGGGAAAGGATGGTTAATTGCTCTAACTACTTCTGATTGTTAATTCAGTGGTAACTGTGACAATTTTAACTAAATCTCCTTCCTGTTAAGAAATCATCAGAGATTGCAGTGGGACCTCACATAGTACATATCTCAAAATGCATGACTTAACAGTACAATGTGAACTTACTGCTTCTTTAAAACTGTCTTTGTGACAGTACATAATATTCCAGAAAATTCACTTGCATGTTGTAGGCAAATCAATTTTAATATGTACTTAACCCCAACATTCTCAATACTGAACACAAAAGAAAAATAACTACCAAGAAAATATGTGAGAGTTACTACATGCATTGAACCCTAAGACACAGGCTAAGACCTAAGGTGGATTTTTTTCATGATTACTGTTTGCCATTTTATTGCTGTGGCTGGTGGTTTTATGAAACATTACAATGTTGTAATTAATGTATTGAGGTACCAGGTGACTGACACTGATACAATAGAAGACACTTCTTTTAGAAATCTGAAGGAAATAATAAACATACTTCCAGCTCAGTGAATTAAAGCTAATTGCAATCTAGGACACAGAGAGTCACGTCTGAGCTTGTAGGTATTAGTAAGCATTCATGTTGTCATGTATTTTTAGCTGTCAGATTTATTCCCCATTATCATTAATATTACTGTCAATATCATCATCATCATCAGGTTAGCAATTACAGTCGATAGTAAATAGACAGTATAAGAGGGTTTGGTGAAATCCTGTTCTTGGTGCTGAAGGAAAGCAAAGTCTGCCACCCCCAAATATGCCTTTGGAATATTGATAAGCTGTTTATTAAGGACCAAAAGTCTCCAAAAGATCCTTTGCCCCTCCCCCTTTACCTGTCTAAAGGAATTTAGGCAGAGGACCTGCTCCAGGTAGGAAGCCACCCTCACGGATAACGGCAGTTTCATCTGAACCAGGTGCGATGGACAGGGAGGGACATAGCAAGGCCCCTTTGATCAAGTCCTCTCTGTGTTCCACTGTAAAGATGGCCCAGCAAACACTTGTTTTTTGAACATCTGCTTTCCATCTCCATGTGAGTGGTCTTCCTGCCCTTTGAAGTCCCAAACCACTACCCTCCCACCTTTCTCCTTATTTCAAGATGACATTTAAATCTCAACTGCCCAGTGCCTCTTTGGATCTCATCTTGTGGCACCCCCAAATGGACATCTATAATGTAACATTGCTTTCATTTGCACATTCGATTTCAGTGTTCCATTGAATGTCGACACACTCAGTCCACATTTCTATTCCTGGAGTCAAAAAACACACGTTTGATCTAAAACGAGGCTCCCCTAAAAACACCAGCTTTTGGTATCAACACACTAAGTGAAAATTTAGCTCATTTGTGGTACCAAACTATCTTATGAAGCCAGTCCTTGTTGGGGACTCCTGGCTGGCTGCACATGTGACACCCAACCAATGTCCCAGCATAGACTAAAGTTCCAGACCCAGTGCTAAGACTGTAGGAAGGAAATACAGACAAACAAGGCTGGCTGTGGAGTTCTCTACTGCTTTTAGATAAAAAAGTGTTCTGCCATTTTCTAAACACATCAAATAGAACACCTAGGACTAATAATCACTTTACCATCATCGGCATGGTCCTCACTAAAAACAGTATTCTTTCTTGTGCTGTCAATTTTGTTAAGTACTTTTTTGGTTAACTCCATGAAGTGTTATTCTGTCACTTACTCTCCTGTCTGCCCAATGTGACACCTTCCCCAGGATGGTACATGAGGACGGTGGCCCAGGCTCACCTACTGTCCCAGGGACAGAGAGCTTATGTTGAGAGATGACTGACACACAGCCACCTTCACTTGTTTTATTAAAATTTAAGGAGGATTTTGTGTGCTTCTGCTGTCTTCTCTTCAGAGCCAGTTGTAATGAAGCTAAATGACAATCTGCTTAGGAAGGGCTAACAGGACCATGAGATGAAAACCTCTGCACAGCAGCGACCACAGGGAACACGTGGAGCACGTGGTCAGCACTGCATGGGCGTGGGGACGGTGGCTCACTTCAGATTTCTCTGGAAGAGCCACCTCGCCCATTTTAATGAGGCACACACCATGTCCTGAAGATACTTCCAGGTGCTGAAAAGTTTTGTTATCACTTCCTTCCCTGTCCCCTGCCATATTTACACTGCCCCAGGGGTGGCTGAGGGCTCCAAGCAGGTAGCCAAGCCAGTGGCCTCTCCCTACAGTCAGGCACAGTCTCTGTGTGCATTTGGTCTCTTTAAAGGGTCAGACTCTGGCCTCCTCCACTATCCTGATTTCTACCCAGTTGAACTAGGACATTGCATTAATGAATAAAGACCTTCAAAATAGGGCCTATCGATGGTTCTTTCACTGAAGTGAAAAAAGAGAGTAGAAATACCAGGGTTTTTTTTACTGTTCACTACTTGTAAACCTCCCAGTTGTCAAAGATTGTCCTCAGTGTATCTCTGTGATATGAAATATAGGAGCAGAAATACCCAGACCCACAGACAGCTGATTTAATACACATGCTTTATGTTGTGTGCTTTGGAGGGGCCAAAATACTTGACAGCTTTCACTGCACATATCCTCTACTCCCAGGGCTCTTAGCACTGAAACCCCATTGCTGATCCCCTCTACAACATCTCCAACAGACCTCATGGATTTGGGGACACATGCTAAATCTACAACATCCTCCTATTGTCTCAATCTTGCCCCAGTCACAATTTCTCTGTAGCCGTCCTGCTGGCTCCATAATGCAGGTTAGGGCCAGTAGACTTTATGATGACCCCAGCGACAACTGGCAACTCAGAGGTTAAAGCCAGTAATATTAGTCTCACAAGGATGAATACAAGCCCTGTGCATGCAAAGACTGAGCACTGGGGAGAAGAACCACCCTAGAGAGTGGAAAGAGAATATTAAATATTCATCTGCAGCCATCTGGCACTATCCAGAGGATTCTAATGGATGTAAAAGCTTGATTTAATCATAAAGCTGGAAGCCTAACTGACATGATAACAAACAAAAGGCAGCATTGAAACCTGAATATATACACCATATGCAGGCTCATGAGAGAAGGCTCATGACCTTAACACTTGTAAACAAGAAAGAAAAGTCTCATAGGACACAAATTTGACAGCCTTAAGAAGGTGTGTCTGCTGGCACCCTCTTCTCCTACTTAGTATCAGCACTGTTTGCCTGGGGCTGGCTAGTGGTGGCGAAGGTAAAGAGAAGATGGCAGGGGGTGGGAAATGTCCTTCCAGCCGGTCCTGAACCTGGGTGAGGGCAGGAATGACTTAATGTAGGGTTTTGTTTGTGTGCATTCATTAGGACACTTTTTAGTTCATTTTCAATATTTTATTCTTTCCATTTCTCCCATCTCCCTCTCTGCTTCCCTTTCTAATTTCCCCTTTTCTTCCCTCTACTTCTTCCTTCCTTTTTTCGTCTTCATTTGCATTGATAAAAAACACTTTTACTCCTCATTCCAACTTTTTCCATTCTTTTTGTTTTAGAACTATATACTCTATTTTATTGGTTATTATAGAAATTTTAACAGATATATTTTAACTTAAAGTCTAAAAGTACACAATACCATTACTTCTCCTAGAACATAGGGACCTCACATGTAGTGGCTTATATTTCCTTGTGTCTGTAACAATTTTGCTTTTATTTTCCTAAGTGGACACAAGTCCTATAGCATTTTGAATAGAATTTTCAGACCACAAGGGTAGCATGGAATTCAGTTCTCAAATTTCGGCAGGGCAGATATGGGGTAAGGAATTTGTAAGGTAGGGCTGGTTCCCTCCCCACCTTCTCAAGAGCCAAAGCTGCAACCAGTCCAGCTCCTCCTGCAGGGGGAGATTTCTTTTTCTTCCTAATCCATTGGGGACCACGCTGCCCTCCACAAATTCCAGATTTACACAGGCTTCTCTATCTGGTCTCTCATTGTTAGGCACCCAGCTTTGTCATGGCTCTGGCTTATTTCTTATACATTTTTAATGAACTAGAAATATTAATTTTTCTATCCTGCAAGTTTTCTGATTGATAGCAAAGCAACTAAGAATGTAGTTTTGGGATTCTGGGTATTTGGAGTTCAAACCAAGATTCCACTAATTATTTGCTGTGGCTTCTGACAAATTAACAAACACCTGTGTACGTTGATTTCATCACAGGTAAAGGGAAGGGCACTGCCTCACAGGTTCCTGTGGGCATGAAATGAATAGGACAGTGTCTGGTATACAGTAAGAACTCAGACATGAGCTGTTGTTGACTTGCTATTTTTGTGTGTAAGAAAATGTTCTGAGGTTATATTGCACTCTATTCTACAAAGGGGCTAATGCCTTACCATATAAATTTCCATAATAAATAATTTTTAAGTTTCAAGTGACATTAGGTAGCTTACTTATGTCTAAATGTAAAGAAATGGCTTCTTCGCTGACAAAATAACAAGTATTTGATATTCATTGTTGTGCTTTTTTTCTTCCTTTTAGAAAATATTATCTCTTGAAGTTAGAGCTTCAAAGTCTGTTTTTCAATTATAAATTATTCCTATGTGCTGTTGGACTAGCAGGTACCCCTACACAGAGAGGATTCTACCACTTAAATGTAGCATATTAATAACATTTTTTGAGAAAATGATGCCAACAGCTGGTTCATTTCATCTAGAATCAGAACAGATCAGTATATGCATGGCAGGCATGGACAACCCTGCATATCGCACGTGCTGGCACTGCTCCACTAATAACACCAGAACAAAAGAATTCCACATTCAAGTCTTCTACCCAAATAGCACAGGTCACATTTCCCAAATACCTGGTGAGTGAAGCTTGGTGGTTGAAGCTGCCACTCTCTTCGGGGATGAAACAGCAGGCTTATTAGCATCTTGATCTTTTTGTAGTTCTTTCTTTGTTCCTATATATAGTTTAAAAAGAGAAACAGAAAAAAAGCAAACCAGTTACAATTGGAACAGTAACACAAGCTGTTTGTGGAAAGGGAGGCTTGACAAAAGGCAAACGGAACACAGCCATGTTTGGATGATTCGTTGCTATGCTCACCACCCCCAATGCTTGAGGAACAACACACTTGTTCACAGCGAAGAGAACTGTGTTGCAGTGAGCAACACGGGAATAAGCACACTGTGGACTCTGACTTGATAAAACTGTCTCTAGTGGTCACAGCACCCCCATGACCCTGACAAACTACTTGGGAATTAAAATTGTCCTGTCCTTAGCCATCAGCATAAACTGCCCACCTCTTTCTGCAGAAACTAATTTTCAGAAGACATGGAAGGAAGTTGTCACTGAATATAACTTCTAATGACTTCTGCATCGAGGGCTGAGTCCAGGGGGACTAGAGCTGAGCCTAATCACTGTCCATGCAGCTGGCTCTCACGGGTGGCCCACGAAGCCTTTGTGCTGTCTCTGCTGGGCCTTTGTGGGCCCGGGGCTGGCCCTGGCAGAGCAGGGTGCACTGAGTGTGGGTGACAGGGGAACATGGAGTGGCTTCTCCCTGTGTGCTGTGCATGGAACTCACCTTCACATCACCTTGATCAGAAACTCTGACGGATGGAAGATTAGAGAAAAAACACAGACTTGGATGTACCTACACATGCCTCCACTTCAGCACAGTTTATGTCATTTCAAAAACAAGCCTTGGTGATGGTTTCTTAGATGCAGACCACGGACCTCCAGCTTCCCCTCAAACTCTGCGACCTCACTCCTCATCCAGAGGTAACCGCTGCTGGCAATTTGGCAACTAGCTTCCCAGACCTTTTTATAGATATTGTATAAATAAATCTACACATTTACAAATACAGCTATTAATTAACTGAACAAATCACACACTGCAATTTCTTTTTACCTATTCACATTTTTAAAAGATATTTTTCTTATATATGTGTAGATCTTTTTAAAATGCCACATTGTATTAATGGGCAAAGATGTACCATAATATTTACCATCTTTTATTGATGAATATTTAGATCATTGGCAAGTTTTGGCTATTAAAATGACTCAGTGTGCTACAATAACCATTCTTCTACTTGTTTCTTTGCACACATGCACCAGCATCTTTACAGGACAAATGGATTGAAGTACTTTTGCTCATCTGCAATATTGCTAGACACAGTCAACTGTCTGTCCACCGAAGGAGGTACTAATTTGCACTCCCAACCAAGAGCGTGTGAGAGCAACTCCTTCCTTATACCACACATCCTACTGACATTGAAGTCTCAATCATTTGAAATTTTGCCAGATACTTAGAGTCTTTTCACATTGGTCGTGTGCAGTTTTTCATTTGAAAATTTCCTAACTAAATCCGTTGCCCCTTTTTCTTACTGATGTTTAAAGACCCTTCATTTACTCTGGACATTAATCCTTTGCCTACAACACAGGTTACTTTTTCCAGCCTTTCACTTTTTAAAACTTACTTATAGTATCTTTCATTGTACTGTGGTTTTATGCAGTTTTAATGTGTTCAAGTATGTTAATTTTCCCTTTTCAACTCTAAGAGCACTATTATAGGTTATATGTACATGTGTGTACACGCGAGAGTGTGTGTACCTATGTGACGGGGTGGGGGGGAGAATTGTTTCCAGAGTCTGGGGAGGGAGGCAGGTGTTTGGATCCCACCTTCTTCTCCCTTGCTCTTCTCTGGCCTGACTGGGCCACTGCCTCAGCCCCCATCCATCCTAGGCCACCTACCTTAAGCTTTTGCATTACAGACCTGTTTTTATCTCCTCTGTTTTACTGCCTTTGGACAATCTGTTTTAGTCTTGTTATTTGAATCTACTAAAGCCTGAATTCTCTTTTGTACCCCCCCTTTTTTCTCTCCACCCTCAATATGCTTTGTGGCACTCAGTTAACATACCTGAGTCTTCCACATCTCAGTACATGGCGTGTTCACACTCTGTGCTCAGTTCTGAAACACCAAGAGTTACCTTGATTTATTTCTTTGCTCCTTGCCCCCATTCAGCCTATCCATTTGCTGACTTTCCTCTGGGAAAAACACTCAGGTCTGACCACATTCCTGCCCTGGGCTGGCCTGCAGAGCCCGTGTCACTGACACCCCTCTGCCTCCTTCTGCAGCCCCCTGCCTGCTCTGCTGCTCCACTCCTGCCCCCTCAGCATGCCCCCCCACACACACAGTAGGAGCTGAACTGCTTAAAATACAAGTTAGAGCAAGTCATTCCCAATTTCTTTTTTTTTTAAGATTTTATTTATTTATTTTTAGAGAGGGAAGGGAGGAAGAAAGAGAGAGAGAGAGAAACATCAATGTGTGGTTGCTGGGGGACATGGCCTGCAACCCAGGCATGTACCCTGACTGGGAATCAAACCTGTGACACTTTGGTTCACAGCCCGTGCTCAATCCATTGAGTTATGCCAGCCAGGGCTGTCATTCCCAATTTCAAACCCCCCAACCACATTCCAGGACACTCAGAGTGAAATGCCAACTCCTTATCATACCACAAAGCTTCGTAGACCAGCAGTCTCCAACAGAAATCACAGTTCAAAAGTAAAAAGTACATCGAAATTAATTGTAATAATGTATTTTATTTGACCCAACATATTCCATAGCCCTTCAACATGGCACAGGTCACCATTCAAGTGCTTGATAGCTGCTCATGGGCTGGTGGCCACCACAGTAGGCAGCACAGCCCAGACGACCTGGTCCTCTGGCTACTTCACAGACACACTATGATGGCCCATTTTGTAGATTGACCTGACTGGGTGATGAGGTGCCCAGACACTTGGTCAAACATTATTCTGGGTGTACCTGTATTCTAGGTGTTTCTAGATGAGACTAATACCTTAATTGGTAGACTGAATAAAGCAGATGGCCCTACTTAATGTGAGTGGGCCTCATCAATCTCTTGAAAGCCTGAGAAGAACAAAAGGCTGAGAAGAAAGGAACTTCATACCTGCTGGGTTGGTCAGGCTGGAACATCAGTCTCTTTCTGCTATCAGACCTGAACTTACATCATTGGCTGTCCTGGGTCCCCAGCTTGTTGATTGGAGACCTTGGGATTTCTCAGCCTCCATAATTTTATTTATTTATGTTACATCATATATATGTGATATAACATATAAACTATATAAAGAATACATGTTATTCATATATGAGCATGGACTCTGTCTAGAGGACAGGCCTCTTGTAGTACAGGCTTCCCCTACTAGGTAAGTATTCTAGGAACCCATCTGTATTAGTGCACCAGCTGGCATTGTTGTGAGAGGCTGCATTTGGCTTCAGTGGATTTGTTTTTTTCAAAGACTCTTTCAATGTGTTTGCCCATTTCAGAGCACCACACTGAGTGTTCAGCAGTTTTGGACCAAAACCACAGCATGGCCTCCATGCTCCACTCTTCCTATTCACCCAATCCTGCCCCAAGTGACTTTATTTTATTTCTCCAGATGAAAAAAATCCTCAAAGGAAAATGTTATGCTAATGTGGAAGAGTTGAAGCAAAAACCATCAGAAGCACCACAAGGCATCAAAATTAATGAATTCAAAAACTGTTTTGAGCAGTGGGAAAAAAATGTCTTGATAGATGTACTACATCAAATGGAGAGTACTCTGAAGGAAACTGAAGTTTAAATATGTAAGAATAAATACATAATTTTTTACAAACAAATTCCATGTTTTGGGGCATCTCCCCCAATGCTGATGTCACTCTGCCCCCTGCTTGCATCCCGCAGCCATAATGCCAGCCTTGCTGGTGCTTAAACACAGTGCATTTCCTCCTGTTCTGGGAACTTTAGCTTGAGTTCCCTCTGTACATGGCTCCTTCATCCATGCATTCAGGTCTCTGCACAAATGACAATCTTCAGAGAAGCTATGATTGACCCTCTAGGTGAAACAGTCCTCTTGCCCACTGCTACTCTTCCACTTGCTTCATTCTCCACACCATTTCTCATTACCCCCCAAATACATTTCATACTCATATGCTTGTTTATTGTCTACCTTTCCCACTAGAACACAAATTTCACTGTTGGGCCATACATACCCTTCCCTGTACAAAGTAGTGGTTCCATTAATGCCCTTCCTGCCTCTCCCCCTCCCTCCAGACTCCTTTCAAGACAGATCCTGTGTAAGAGTTCTAGGGCTCACAGAAGCTGCATCTCGGGGTCCTGAAAACCCAGCCAGCACTCCACACCTCTGATGGCACACCCGCCCTTCAGAATACCAATCTGTACCGATGGCTAAACCGTCTCTTCCATTCTTTCCCTCTGCTTTGACTTCAGGTGTCAACAAATATGAAAAAGCAAAGGCCTCTGGGAGCTAAGAAGGAAAATATTAGAGGATGAAAGTCTGCACTCAACACAGTACTTTAAAAGAAAACTAAATATGCATATTTATTCAAAGTTTTGGTATTTTCTATACAGCCCTCATTGAATGCAATTCTGCAACTTCTAGCAAGTATTTAAATATTGATAGACTTATCTTGGCAATTCCACTTCTACAAATCTCTCTTTGGAACACTTGCAATGTGAAAATGTAGGTTTAAAGATACTTTATACACTGCATAATAACAAAGAAGTGTAAATAACCAAAATACGCATCAGGGAAGGGGTAAATAAACCATGGAACATCCCTACTACAAAGTACCATGCAGCCCTTAAAAAGAATGAGGTAGCTCTACACTGTGCTGGCATGAGAGCTGCCCATGATAAATGACAAAGCAAATGTGTACCATGGTTGTCCATATGTGAAAAGATCTGAAAGTCAGGCACCAAATTTTCAATAGGGGTGACTTCTGAGCAATAGGGTTGAAGGGTTTTTACTTTTTATTTTAATAGGCTTCTGCATTATTTCCATATTATATGATGAATCACATATTACTTCTATAATAAGAAATAAACAATAAAGAGAGAGAAACCAAACCAAAATGAAAATAGTTTGATCCATGAAAAGAGG